TTTTTCAACCTAATCGCTCTTTTGACTTCGGAAAAAACTTTCTTTATCAATATACTGTTTCTTCTACACACACATCTCCGTAATAGAAAATGGTAATAGTTAGGATTCATTAAAAAAATGGAGAATCCACTCATGGGACAAGAAACCCTTCCCGCATCAGGCACTAATAAATTTTTAACGTCTAATTAGATCGGGAATCATTCAAATTAAGAACAAAAGCTCGTTGCTTTTTCTTTCTTTCCCTATAATTTAATTGAAGCCGCAGCCCTATCCATTTATTCATTCGACCCAACTTTATTTTGTTCCGTTCCAAGAATTCTAACACGGTTTTATACCCATCTAGGAACAATGAAATATTCTCAGAACTTTCCGTTGATACGACATGCTATTTTTACCATTCATTCCCTTTCAGGATCAGTCGTGGTCTTCCAAACTTTACCGAGAGTATGGACGAATCCCTCACTTCATCCATATGTGTAAAAGAGACTAGCCGCACTTAAAAGCCGAGTACTCTACCGTTGAGTTAGCAACCCGAAGAAAATATCGAAGAAAAATAAATAAAGAGATTAGACAAGACAACCAAAAACCATTGAAGGAATAAATCTAAAAAAATACATTCACATTTTCGAATTAATTTAAAACATAAAATAAAACTAAATAGATCCACTTCATTTATCACAATGAATTATATTTGTTCGATACACTGTTGTCAATATAAATATTGAATAGTGAAAAAAAAAAAAGAAATTTCAATTGACAACAATAAAAAATATTAAAAAAAAGGACTTGTGTTAGATTGGCACTACAAATCTAATCCAAATAAAATAGATACAAAAAAGTATAGATGAGAGAATAAATTAAGTGGAAAACAAAACTACAATTTATTTAGATTTATTTAATCCATAATGGATTCAATCAAGTTAAGTGAGATAAGCAAACTTGATTTCTTTTTTAGTTTTAGTAGAGTTCCAATGAAAAACGGAAAACCACCCAATTGAAGGAAATGCCCGAATTTTCTATTTCGAGGATCAATAAAATAAGAGGTTTTGTCGTTATAGAACACGGAATTCAATGGAAGCATGATAAAAATATACAAATAGAAAAGGAAAGGGAGGAAATACAAAAAAAATAGAAGAGAAAAGTCATACAAAGTTATATACAAATGACTACCCCCTTTTGTATTTCTTTAATTTATTTCCTTAATTGAATTTCGGTTGATTAGGATTGATTAGGACGAACTTCCTTAAAAACCTTCGCCTTCTTTAAAATATCCTGAACAGTTCCTGTAGGTTGAGCCCCTTTTTCAAGGAAATATAAAATAGCAGGAACATTTAAATAAGTTTGATTCTTTATCGGATCATAAAAACCCACTTTCCGAAGATCTTTTCCTTCTCTTCGGGATCGAACCTCAATTGCAACGATTCGATAGACGGCTCATTGGGATAGATGTAGATGAACAACACCCCCCTAGAAATGTATAGGAAGCTTTCTCCTCGTACGGCTCGAGAAAAATGATTGATTCAAGGTTTTATCTCTGTATGGAATTCTATCTAAGAAATGACAACTGGGTCCATAAAATGATCAAATCAATTAAAGATGTAAGTCTTTTTTTTTCTTCTTTCTTCCTGAAAATGAAAAAGAAACCATTCGTACTCTCATAACTCAAGTTGGATAACTTTCAAACAGTTCAAAGGAAAATCTTTCGGCAATTTCATTTATTGAGCGGTCTTTCCTCCTTTTATGTTTGTCTCGTTTAAAATGGATTTGGATTCTTCAGTTCGATCCAGTTATTAAGACAATAAAAAAGGTGTTTCCTTGTTCTGGGATCCTTTATCTTTGTTTTATTTTAAATCATTGGGTTTAGACATTACTTCGGTGCTTTTTAATCCTTTCAAAATGGCAGCAACATACCCCTTTTGCGATTTCTATGAAAGAACCCTACAGACAATGGATTCCCACGTGAAACACTTTGGATAGAAAAAGTTTGATCAATTCCAAGAAATTTTTGAATTGGAAACTTGCTCGAATTGGATTCTTTCGATTTCCATACCGAAAATATATTTACGAAGTTGTTCCAATTTTTTTATTGATTGGCAGATGAGAAGGGGGTAGGGGTACGGGCGTTTGGACAATTATATATCAAGTGACACCCCAGTTCCGGACCGTTGGATTAAGGATATCCAACGACCGTGATTAGTAGAGGGCAAAACGGGGTCGTTTGGACAAGGGAGAAACCTGACCGGGTTGGACATGGGTTTTGGGCTGGGTAGTGGGGATTTTGGCCGGGTTTCAAGTGCAAGGTTAGGGCTTGGGGTGGATTTGGCCCAAATTGGGTTTTTATATTAAGAACTCAATTTCTTTCATTTTCTTTTTCTTTCTTCCTTTTTTTTCATTTTCAGATTTTTGTTAAAGAAAAAAAACAAAATTAAAAATAAAAAGCCAAAACCTGATTTAAATTCAAAAACTAACTAATTGCTTTTCTTAAAAATTAATTAATTCCTAATTTAGAAGAAAACTCTGACAAATTAAGAAAATTAAAAGATGAAAATGCAAAAATGAACTATTTTTGTGATTTTCCTTCATTTTTGTAATATTAAATAACTAATTATCCTAAAAATATAAAAATTGAGTCCTAAGTGCAAATGTACTATTTTTGTATTTTTCTATGAATTATATAAATTAAATATGCACACAAAAATGCAAACCACATGAAAATTATGCGACTAATTCCTAAAAATCAAATAATCAAAGGAAAATCCTAAATTTAAGAATTCTGTAGGAGTAAATCGTGCGAGGAAAAAATCACGTGCTCACAGGTGGTACTGGTGGTCGTTCATCCTGATCGGTAGCACGTGTCCTCACCATCTGTGAAGGAATATAATAATAGAAGTTTAGTTACCAGAATCAAAAGATTCACACGACAGGAATTCAGAATATGAAGTTTTTCTTAAAGGTTCTGCAGCCTCTCGAAGATATGTAGAGACGTCTCCGTACCGATCCGCAAGACTCTATTATACCCACTCATGACTCGTGAGTCCTATGTAACCTAAGCTCTGATATCAACTTGTCACGACCTTAAAACCGACCCGGTTATGATGGCGCCTGTCGTGAAACTAGGTCAGCCGACACAAATCCCCATCTCAAACTATTAATTTATAAAAGATAATTTTAAGGCATTAATTGACAATATCTCATGATATAAGTCTAAATAACCAGTGCGGAATAAATACCCAAGCCCGACATTAGGGTGTCACAATTCACGAGCAACTACAACTCTGTCAAGGTACAATAAAGTCTATCAAAATCTGAAAGACAATACTAATAAAATCTAGGGAAGATATGAGGGAGAAGAATAGGGCTACGAATGCTATGCAACCAGTGTTTTCAAAGGCGCTGATGGGGAGCGCTTTGAGACTCGTCTTTGGGCGAGGCGATGGTAAATCGCACTGAGGCGAGAGTGTGGGGCGCATATCCACGGAACGCACGCTCAAACCACTCGGACGTACGCCTTGGCGCACCTTGAGTCCCACCAGTGAGGCGCACGCCCAGAAGATCTGAAGCAAATTAGTTAAAAATCAATAAGAAGAAAAAATCTGAACAATTTACATAAACATGAAATACAGGTACACCCAAAAATAGAAGAGAAATTGCATATTTGACGTTCTGATTGTTCCACTTTTTTGCATGAAACTAAGAAAAAGATTCTTATCTGCGATTTCATAAAAAACTTCCTATTTCAGAAAATCTCGGAGCTCCTCATTTGCTTGATACGAAGAGTTGTCATTTCTGAATAAGTGAATGGGTATTTAGGGATGAAGATGAAGCCCTCTGTGACTTTCAAAGTAAAGAGAGTTTTTCATTTTGTCTTTTCACAAAAGGGACTCATTGGAAAAGCTGTAAAGATCCCATTCCACTGCCCTATATGATCAGATGTTGTTATCTCATGAAATCACGTGTATGATTTTACCTTTTTCTTTATTTTCTGTTTTGTGTTTCTATTGTTTCGTTTTATTAATTTCTTAATTGGTTTTATCTTTCTATTTTATTTTTCGAAGTAAGTCTTTTATTTTTCTTTTAGAATTTATTGGCTGGTCTAACTCGTTCTAATATTGGCCATTAGAGTAATTATAACCAAGTTATACAGTATTAAGAAATTAAAAAGATGAGCCACAGAATTATCTTTACACAAAAAGAAATATGACATAAAACGAGTTGAGTTACTTGAGTCTGATATAGATAGATATTGCAATATTGATTTGCATTGCCTTATTGTTTTTACAATACTTCCCTTGTCAGACTTACGTCGTGGTTATTATAATTATTAGAGAAATATACATGGCTAAATGATTTTGTTTATTGAATTTTATATAATCTTAATGAAATTTTCATACTTTATTATTTAAGAAAATTATATAAATAAAATTAAAGATCCATGGGGCTTACGCCTCGCCCCACAAGTAGTAAAACGCCTCGCCTTGCGCCTTCGTCTTTTAAAACACTGTATGCAGCTACCTTGTCGACTCTAAGACCTGCTGAATGAACAATCAACGCTCTATATCAAGACCCACAACTCCTGGATCTGCACACAAGGTGCAGGGAGTAATGTGAATACTCCAACTCAGTAAGTAATAGAAGTAAATGAAAGCTAAGCAGTAATAAAAACAAATAATTCCACATCATAACACCACAACAAATACAATACATTTCCCAAAAATAGTACAGAATCATTTATCTCGTAAAACAAACTCAGTTTCAGTAAAACCTTTCCTTTAAAAACATCTTTCAATAGTTTCAAACGAGTGATGAAAACAGTGAGTAAAAATGATAGAAACGTAAACAGCCCCACAACCAAAACATGTACCATAAACTGCCCGTCGGGAAAAATATCAACAGAACCAACCCCTCGGGCTACCTCACAATCACTCATAATTAGTCCTTCGAGCAACAACATGAATCAACAACAGCCCCTCGGGTAATATTACATCACTCACACTGGGTACTCGCGCTCACTAGGGGTGTTCAGACTCCGGAAGGGGTCCTACAGCCCAAGTGCTATAACAAGCCATCTTGTGGCATAATAAATCAGGCCTTCGGCCTCTCGTATATCACAAATCAGTACAACAAGCTACGACACGTAGACCAATCTTATGATATGCTCACAACACAAGCCATCAGCCTCACTCAGTCAGAAATCTCTCAAGTCACTCGGGCAACAGTAAAACAGGATGCTCAGCCCAAAATATCATTTAAAGTATCAAAAAGGAGTAAATACGGCTGAGTTATGAAATCAGTAAAACACAACATGACTGAGTATAGATAATTAAGTCAAAACAGTGAGGAATAGTAGTGAAAAGCCCCTAAGGGTCCAAACAGTTGCACAAGCCCCAAATATGGCATTCATCCCAAAACATAATAATAATTTCCAAATCACAATAGTATCAAATAGTTTTCAATCAAATACACGACTTAATAGTCGTACGGGACGGATCGAGTCACAATCCCTAACGGTGCACTCCCCCGCGCTCGTCATCTAGCATGTGCGTCACCTCAAAGTAGTGAAACAATGTAAAATTCAGGGTTTTATACCCTCAGGACAACATTTACAATCATTACTTATCTCAAAGAGGTCCAAACTCTAGCCCGCGATGCCTTTGCCTCTCGACTCGGCCTCCGAATGTTCCAAATCTAACCAAAATCAGTATCATACCATTAATACACACTAAAGGAATAAAGCCCAAGCGAAAATAATCAAATTAGCTAAAAAACTCGAAATTGGCCAAACCCGACCCCTGGGCCCTCATCTCGAAATTCGATAAAAATTACATCACTAGAATCCTTATCCTCCCACGAGTCCATACATACCAAAAACATCAAAATCGGACCTCAAATGGCCCCTCAAATCACCACTCAAA